GGAATGGCTGATACTGGTTGTTCCTTTCTATGTGTAGTGCCTCTTTCAGGAGCTCTTGTAAAGCAGGCCTGGTGGTGACAAAATCTCTGAGTACTTGCTTGTTTGCAAAGGATTTCATTTTTCCTTCACTTGTGAAGCTCAGTTCGGCTGGATATGAAATTCTGGGTTGAAAGTTATTTTCTTTAAGGATGTTGAATATTGGCCCCACTCTCTTCTGGCTTGTAGGGTTTCTGCCGAGAGATCTGCTGTGAGTCTGATGGGCTTCCCTTTGTGGGTGACCCAACCTTTCTCTCTGACCACCCTTAGCATTTTCTCCTTCATTTCAACCCTGGTGAATCAGACGATTATGTGCCTTGGGGTTGCTCTTCTTGTGGAATATCTTTGTGGTGTTCTCTGTATTTCCTGGACTTGAATATTGGCCTGTCTTGCTAGGTTGAGGAAATTTTCCTGGATAATATCCTGAAGAGTATTTTCCAGCTTGGATTAATTCTCTTTGTCAAATTTAGATACACCTATCAAACGTAGATTTCGTCTCTTCGCATAGTCCCACATTTCTTGGAGACTTTGTTCATTCTTTTTTGCACTTTTTTCTCTAATCTTGGCTTCTCATTTTATTTCATTGAGTTGATCTTCGACTTCTGATATTCTTTCTTCTGCTTGGTCAATTCGGCTGTTGAAACTTGTGCATGCTTTGTGAAGTTCTTGTGTTGTGATTTTCAGCTCCTTCAATTTACTCATATTCGTCTCTAAGTTTCCATTCTTGTTATCTTTTCCTCAAATCTTTTTTAAGGTTCTCAGTTATTTCGCCTTGATTTAGAACATGTTCTTTTAGCTCACAGAAGTGTCTCATTACCCACCTTCTGAAGTCTGATTCCGCCATTTCATCATATTCTTTCTCCATCCAGTTTGTTCCCTTGCTGGTGAGTTCTGGTCCTTTGTAGGAGGTGAGGTGTTCTGGTTTCGGGTGTTTTCCTCTTTTTTGCGCTGGTTTCTTCCCATCTTTGTGGACTTATCCACCTGTCTTCTGAGCGGTTGCTGATTTTCCGAATGGGTCTCTGAGTGAACCTCCAGATTGTTGATGATGAAGTATTTCTGTTTCTTAGTTTTCCTTCTAACAGTCTGGCCCCACTGCTGTAGGACTGCTGAGGTCCACTCCAGGCCCTGCTTGCCTGGGGAACTCCTGTAGCAGCTGCGGAACTGTGAGGGTTGCTACCAGGTTCTTCTTCTGCTATCTTTGTCCCTGAATGATACCCTTCAAATGTCAGTCTGATCAGTCCTTTGTGAGGTGACTCTTTGGGTATACAGGCATCAGGGAGCTGTTTGAGTTGACAGTCTGTACTTTATAGAAGCTCTATTGCTGAGCTGTGAGCTCTGTTGTTCATTCAGGGCTGCTAGGCAGGTACATTTCAGTCTGCTGCAGCAGAACTCATAAACCCCCCCTTTTTTTTTCTTCAGGTGCTCTGTCCCTGGGAGTTAGGGCTTTATTTATGAGTAGCTGTTGCACTTTCCTGCCCAGCGAGGAGGCAGTCAAGTCACTGCCTGCCTGTAGTGGCTATGATGAGCTGCCATGGACTCCGCCCTATTGCTCTGGGCTCTGCCCTGCTGCCCTTTGTAATTCCCTGTAGTCCTGATTATATGGGTGTTGGTGGAACTGCAGTGGTGATGGTGGCCCACCTCTGTAGTGGCAGACTCTCTCTGTTATGGCGGGTTGCCTCAGCAATGGCAGGCTGTGTCAGCAATTGCTGTTTTGTTTGGTTTTGTGGGGGTGGGACCCGCTGAGTCTGATCACCTGGCTCCCTGCCTCAGAGTCCTTTTTTTTTTTTTTTAAGTTGAATGGTTGACGCTCTCCCAGGTGTTCCAGTCACCTGCTGCAAGGGTGCTGGGATCTGTGTGATTTCCCATGCAGTGACCCACTGTGCGGGCTCAAACCACGTTGCTACCCAGGAATCTCCTGGCCTGGCCTTTTGTTTATGTCTCATTTAATCAGATGAATGTGCTAATCTGCCTTCTGAAATCTCCAGTTGCCGGTTTAATAGGGCAACCAAACCAGTATATTTTGTTCGGAGTGCCGCTGCACTGCAGCCTTGGCCCAAACAGCCGCACCAGCACAAACAGCCATGCTGGCCCAAACTGCCACACTGGCAGCCTGTGGGGCTCTTAAACCTGTGAATCTCCTAGTCTGTGGACAATAAAGATCTGTATGGAAATGCGGCATCCACTCACCCTCTGTGAATTCACTGGGAGCTGCAATCCTGAGTTGGTCCTACAGCGCTATCTTCCCTCTTCTCCGTAACTCTTTATTTATATGTGTTTATTTCCTTTGTCACTCTTGAACAAAGGTATTATTGACAATAAGGGACTAGAAACCCTAAGCCAGTATTTGATAAAATTATTATCAAGTAACTTATTTCTTAAGTGTTAATAGGAAAATAATGAAGAAGTTGTTATGTGATCAAATTAATTTGGAAAATGTTAGAGTTAACAATACAGATTCTCTCCACCTTCAATATGAGTTTATGCACTATAAACCACCCAATGAGAATGATAGAGGATGTCATTTTGGGCAATGGAATCCTTTTTTTCACTGAGTATGGATGTAATATAGATTTAAAAACAGAGCACTAAGGCACTTTTAAAAAATTTAATTGGATTACCAATTTTCAATGATGAAATTTAGTAAACTAGAAGAGACAACAGCAGTCATTATTTATTGAGCAAAGGGCTTCATTAAGGTTTTCAGACATGACTCAATTGGAAAGGGCCATGTTATAGGGCTACTCTTCTGTGAAATATCCTTTAGTGTAAAGGCTCTTAAAACAAGTTTGAAATTCAGTATCAAATAAAAGATAAGAAGTTAAGGGTATAAATAAATCACTGTAAGACTTCAAAGAAAAAAAAATTATACCTACTAGGGAAAATATGTAAAGGTTTTATATAAGGCTAGGTATCAGCAATGACCCATGAATGATGATTAGGAGGTAGTGAACAGTCACAGATGGGAAGGAATGTTTCAGGCAGTAGAGCTGGCATTAGCAGAGGCATGGGTTCTCACTTAAAAGTGAAAGCTAAGAAATAGCCACACATGGATATAAAGATGGAAACAACAGACAGTGGGGGCTTCAAAAATGGGGACAAAAGAAGGGGGATCAAGCGCTGAGAAACCACCCGTTGATACTATGTTCACTATTTGGGTGACGGGTTCACTAGAAGCCCAGACCCCACCATTATGCAACATGCTCATGTCATAAACCTGCACCTTTAGCCACTGAATCTGTACTTTAAAAAGTGAAACCTCGATTTCCTGATTGTCAGTCATGTAGGCTACCTACAGGGACAGCAATGAAAAGCAAGAATTGCTGATTTGGGGGTAAAGACAAACAAAGGATGCTGGGAGAAGATGGAGAATCTGAAACTAAACTTGTAAGTAGAGCCTTACAAGTTTAGTTTCAATACTGAAACTATAGCCTCGGGCAACCAGGGAATGGTGCAAGTATCGAAAAGGAAGGACCCCTAGGGAAAACTGAAGGCTTATACCACCTACTTCATGCTTTGGCTAAGCAAAAAGCCTAATGAAATATAATTGGATCTAGGTTCTGTGTCTCCACTTGCCAATATAGAGAGCCAAAGACAAGTAAATTTCTTCTTGAAGGTGTGTGTTATTCCCCAAAGAATCTTTTAGAAAGAGCAAGCAGCCTGAGAAATATTTATTCATTAGATATATTCTGACAGCAACCAGGAAAATCCAGAAAGTACCAAGCACATACACATACACATAATACACTTGATTCTTGAAACACTTGTGGTTTCACTGTTTTAACTATCATTATGAAGTAACTATTACTTTCTCCAGTAAATGCATTTATAAAGCAATCCAAACCTATTTTAATTATTGTAAAACAGTGATAGAGTTTGGGTCCAAAACATTCTTAGAAAAAACATTAACTGCTTAATTCAGTTTCACAACTATAAATAAGTAGGGCAGATATTTTTTAACACACCCCCTCTTGTTTATTGCTGTGAAGAAGATAAGTACTCTCCAGTGTCTTGCTTGATTCAAGAACATTCTGGCTGCTGAATCTTGTAAGCCGTACAGCACTCTTCTGAGATCCAGTGCTGATACATTCCACATGTAACCCCACTGCCCCTGGAAGAGAAACTTTCCTGCTGAGTCAGAAGGGTTTATAGAGATGCGAAATTAACATACAACCTATGTCTTTCAGAAACTGCTAATAACATCTCTCCTTTGCCTTCTCACAAGTGGGAAAGTTTCCACTCCCTCCATATAGAAATCCAAACTTTCCCAGTGAGACGTATGGGTCATATAAAGCAGAGTGCCTTGCAAAGAGAGCATATCTCCATTGAAGTCATCACCACTTGCTGGCTGGCTATAACTGCCTGCAGCCTCACTCCCACCACCTTGGCTCTCTTAATAGCACATGAGTTCACTTAGAAGAGCCTGTCATCCAAACTCAGCAGCCATGATTTTTGGGGGCTCCAAATATGCCATGTGAACACCAAAGCACATTCTTCAGAGCACATACAGCTAGGAGCAGAGTTAAAGGGACCTAAGACAGTGAATGAGTCAAGGTAGTAGATTGGGGCACTAAATTATTGCAGCAAACTATGAACAAATTCTTGCCATTTCCATCCTCAGAACAAAGCTGACAACCTAAACCTGGTTAGGTTTCACAGGAGTTGCAGCTCTGGGAGTCAAAACATGAGAAGAAACACAATCCCCCATATCACATGTGAGGCTGCGGAGGCAGGGCCTAGTCAGCTCAGCAATGTTTAAAGAGAAAAATCAAGCAGTGTCTCTCTATACGTGACTGTTTCCTGTGCTCCACATTGTGGGCTGGAACACTGAGATCTGGCAGCCTTTATTCAAACAATAGTTTCCCTAAACTTGTTATTTCTAATTCTGAAAGAAGAGATACTAAGTGCTACACATATTTAATTCTTTCATCCTATTAATTTTAATGAGCGCAGCCCCAACTGTTCCATTCAAGCACCCTTAACGTACATGTGCGTGAGAAAGGTAGGGCAATGTACTTGCTGCTTTGTTTCTTTGTCCCTGTACAGTGATGTATCATTTCAAGAGTAGTGGCTGCGTGCAGCTGACAGACCTGGTTTCAGATGCCATTCGGAGCATCCTCAGGCTCATTAATAATGAAGGCCTCTGACAGGAGCCGTTTTGCCTGCCTTTGTTTTCCACTGTAGGTGAAGGGAGACATGGATCTCTCTGTTTTGCCAAATAACAATCATCCTGACAAATTCCTGCAGCTTGATGTAAAGTCTTTAACGAGGAGCTCAGCCCTCCTTCAGGCCAGCCTGGCAAGGTATCCGTGTGGAAATTATCCTGCTGCACAACACTGGCAAAACCTTGTCTACTCGCAGGTAAGATCTAAGGGCACAAAAATACCAGGATGGGGGCTTGTTTCTTTCTTTCTCTCTGCCGTTTCATCCTTTATGAAGGTGGCTACTCTGTCTTCCAACTTAGTCTTTCGCTATTCCTTAACATTAGAAACTTTTCCTCAATATCTTTATAAAATATGTGAATTCTCTCATTCATTAATTCCCCTCCAAGCATTAGTTTCTCTGCCGATCCTCATTTTAGATTTCATGTGGCCCTTATTTACTCCTTCCCTTCAAACATTTTCAAATGAATTATATTCACACAAAAGGCTTGCGGGGGGGAAAAACTCCTGTCTCTATCTTTTGGTGTAATCTAAGCATAAAGCATCAGAAGTTTATGTTGTGGGCATAAACAAGCCTCTAAAACAGCTGGAGATCTTGTGTCTGCCTCCCTTACGCTAGCTCCCTTGCATAGCATACACAGACAACAACAGAACAATGGAAACCTAATCATTGAAGGAAAAAAATAACAGTGAACTCTCCACCTTGAGAAAGTGTTAGTTATTATTACAGATATTCTTATTTTCCACAAGTGTCTGTGTAGACAAGACATACCAATCAGACCTTCAAACCCAATGTAGGTTTTATTTCTCTTTTCGTTTGCATTTTCCTTCTTTTTGCTGACCAAAACAGAAGAATAAAACTGTGATGAGTTCCATCTGCTGAAATAAACATAAAGGCCTTAACTGTTGCACAGCTAATGAAACAGAAATAACCTTTGTTTTAAAACATGAAGGCTAATGGGGTTAAGAATTAGTCAATTTAGAAACAGAAAGAAGCATTTCATTACAGAACAGATGTGACTGACCTACAAACCCCTGCAAGTCATTAAATCCTTTGGAGTCGTTCAAATTCCCTGAACAGAAATTTGTTTTCTTTTAAGAACAGTTGCTACTCATGATTCCTGGTGTAAAGTGACTCCTTTGTGGTATGTTTGTGGGCTCCTTGGGACCTTTATCATGAGATCATTCAAAATCAAGTACACTCAAATGATTATGTAAGTGTTTCCTCCACCTATGAGGATTTTAATTTATTTCCATTGTAAGGCAGCCTATTATGACAACTTGCATTTTTTGAATTTTGCATCAATCACTTTGGTAATCCTCAGACCCTTCAGTCGTTTCATACCCAGCCATGTTGTTGTTGTTTTACTTGTAGGTGTTCTTTTTTTCAGTTTTAAATGAAATGAAATTCCTCCCTTTTTCCTCCTTATTGTTTATATCATAGAATAAAATGATTCAAAAATCAGTTCAGAAAACTTGGCCCTTCTATGCTATGCAGTTTAGTCTAAGAAAACATATCCAATAAATTCCTTTGAGGTTGGAACACATTGATCTAACATCTTTTGTTTGGTACTGAAGTTGACCTATTTCCTTCATGTGGAACTTCACAGTTTAAAACTGTTGAATGTTGTTCCTAAACCCAAATGAAATGCAAATTTTTAAAAGACAATTTTTTCTACAGGCTCCATTGGGTGGAAATAGTTATTCAAAGAAAAACCAAAGGGGTAAACCTCTGCTTCATAGGTCTTTGAATATGTGTTGTCAATCATTATAAACTTAAAATAAACTTGATTTAGTTATCCTTTTATCCTAAGAAGAAATGTTAAATGACCTAGAGAAGGCCAGTGTACTAACTGGGCATTAATAATGCATGGAGAGAGGCAGGACAGTACATCAAGTACAAATTCAGATAATCAGGTAGGTGTGGCACAAAGTATGAGTAACAACAATGATATTCACTACTTCATTTTGCAATGCATCATTAAATAATGCTCTTTTGGGGATATAAAATCTATGATTGATATATTCATTGGATAAAATAATAAATGTCATAGGAATGGCCATATAGAAGTTTTAAATATTTGCCATGATACCTGGAAGAAGACACTGAATATACAAGCATATTGAGGTGTTAGGCACACATAAGGTGGTAGCTACCAAAAAGTTCTTAATTTAAAGCTCTCACTCTACTGGGGAGTCAGTAAGTCAATGGGCAGAACATGGAATAAAGAAGTTAGACACTTGGTTTCTTATCTCAAATTCACAATAAACCAGTTTTAGAGACACCTATCATGGCCCTTAATCAATTCATGCCTCAGTATTTCCACTTGCAATATTAGGATAATATTTATTTTATATATTTCCCTAAAAGTGAGAGCAAATGAAATATGAGGTAAAAACAATTGAGAGCCATATTTTCCTATAAAAGAGCATGAATATGTATGCAAGTATGTACATGTGGATTGTTATTTATATCAGTATTTCAAAATGTATTTAAGTAATCCTTTTATTAGAATGTATTAGCAGATAATCCCATTTCCATTATTTTATAAATATTGTGGATGAAGGGGTGTGTGTGTGTGCACACATGCATGTGTGTGCACCTGGTGGTTGGGAGGATGTACTCCATACATATGTCAACCTGTGTGACTAACCCAAGCAGTAGATATAATACCACATGAAATCTACACATACTCCAGAGTTGTGTCAACTGATCCTTTCTTCCCACACCACACAAGTGCATGGTGTTTGGCATACAGACTGCCTTATGGAATGGCAAAGCACTTAACCTGCAGTCACTAAATTTAAACAAGGGGTAACTCTGCAGTTAAAACGGAGATACCCTAGATTGGAAATGTCAAGTTGAATTCTTATATATGTATGCATTTTATATCAATGATTTATCATCTGATTTTTAAAATTCACTTTCCATTTTCAGAGAAAATTCTCCAGACCATTTTTTTATATGAGCGAAAGCAATACCATTCAATCTATTTCTTTCTTTCTTTTCTTTTTTTTTTTTCTGAGACAGAGTCTCACTCTGTCACCCAGGGTAGAGTGCAATGGCGCAATCTTGGCTTGCTGCAACCTCTGCCTTCCAGATTCAAGTGATTCTCGTGCCTCAGCCTCCCAAGCATCTGGGATTACAAGTGCTCGCCACCATGTCTGGCTAACTGTTGAATTTTTAGTAGAGATGGGGTTTTGCCATATTGGCCAGGCTGGTCTCAAACTCTCCACCGGAAGCGATCCAACCCCCTCAGCTTCCCAAAGTGCTTGATTACAGGCATGAGTCCCTATGCACAGCCTCAATCTAGAAAATTAAGCAGTGATGTTCTCAGTCAAGTCAGTAACCAGGAACATTGTAATTCCCATCTATGTAGATACTCAGGTCTCCCATATTTACAGAGAGTATACACAGATATTTATTTGATTCTACCATATTTATACTTTTCCTTAAATTCTTTCACCAGAGAAATAAAGAAGCTTCACAATAAATTGTATGTCAGTGCTATAAAGAAGCATTCACCAAAATCTAATGTTTCTAATTGTTAAAACAATTTGGGGGATGTATCTAATGAAAGCATTTAGAAATGTATTCCAAATATGTCTGCCAACCCCTTTATGAAACAAGTAATGAAAAGAAAAGCTGATTAAAAAAAATTAAGTGATAAAATATGTGTTTTTCAAACAACACCATCCAAAAGTAGGCAAAGAATACAAACAGACACTTCTCAAAAGAAGACATTTATGTGGCCAATAAACATATGACAAAAAGCTCATCACTGGTTATTAGAGAAATGCATATCAAAACCACAATGCGATACCATCTCATACCAGTTAGAATAGCGATCATTAAAACATCAGGAAACAACAGATGCTGGAGAGGATGTGGAGAAATAAAAACACTTTTACTCTGTTGGTGGGAGTGTAAACTAGTTCAACCATTTTGGAAGACAGTGATGATTCCTCAAAGATCTAGAACCAGAAATACAATTTGACCCAGCAATCCCATTACTGGTTATAAATTATTCTAGTATAAAGACACATGCACATGTATGTTTACTGCAGCACTGTTTACAAGAGCAAAGACTTGGAACCAACCCAAATGCCCATCAGTGATAAACTGGATAAAGAAAATGTAGCACATACACATCATGGAGTACTATGCAGCCATAAAAAAGAATGAGTTCATGTCCTTTGCAGGGACATGGATGAAGTTGGAAACCAGCATTCTCAAAAAACTAACACAGGAAGAGAAAACCAAACACCGCATGTTCTCACTCATAAGTAGGAATTAAACAATGAGAAAATGTGGACAGAGGGAGGGGAACATCACATACCAGGTCCTGTCTGGGGTTGGGGGGCTAGGTAAGTGATAGCATTAAGACAAATACCTAATGCATGCAGGGCTTAAAACCTAGATGATGGGTTGATGAGTGCAGCAAACCACCATGGCACATGTATACCTATGTAACAAACCTGCACGTTTAGCATGTGTATCCCAACCTTAAAGTTTAATTAAAAAAAAAAAGAAATTCAAAGAGCAAGAAAGAAAAATGTGATTTTCTTTTTCATTTATTGTGGTGGGTCTTAATTTTCTAATTAGCAGTTCCATGTGAGAATATTTTCAGACTAATTTTTTTGTTGTATCTAGCTTCTAGCACATCAGTTTCAGAATCAAGGAGCATTCCAGACTAAACCTGTGAGATGGAGGGAAAGGCTAAGTGTGAGAGGCTGCTCTTCCATTGATTTCTAGACAATGTCATTTACTCAAATTATTTCCTAATCATCTTTCTGCACTGTTTTTCAATCCAATCACACTCTTTTTCCCATAAATTCAAAAGTCTCTCCTTTCTGTCATGGGTTTTTTTTTGTGTGTGTATAACTGTATTTCTTCTGTCTTTGAAAGCACATCATGCCCTCCTAAAACTGTCTCTATTTTCAATCTTCCATTTATTATGTTGTAAAGAACAGTCCTGGGGCCAGGTGCCATGGCTCATACCTGTAATCCCAGCACCTGGGAAACCGAGGTAGGCAGATCACTTGAGGCCAGGAGTTCAAGGTTGGACTGGCCAACATGGCAAAACCCCATCTATACTAAAAATACAAAAATTAGCCTGGCATGGTGATATGGCCTTTAATCCCAGCTACTCAGGAGACTGAAGCATAAGAAATGCCTGAAGCTGGAAAGCAAAGTTT